TTAATGGTTTCGCCAGGTTTTAACAGCTCATAATAGATCACACCCTTCTGATCCCACCAAACACAGAGCATTGTCTTCTGTCCATAGCGATTTGGTCTTGTAGTCGATGTCGGTGGTTCGTCTGGAGCTACCCATGATCTTTTACGCTTAAGATTCTCAAAATATATCCACTTTTTATCGCCAGTCACAATTCGGTGGAGAAATGACTTTCTTTTGTATCTGGCGAGCAGCATTTCACAAGTGGTTTTTCGGTTTTCCTGCTGTCTTTCATTCAGTTCATGTAGAACCCATTTTTCCACCTTCTGAATCTTTCCCATGGCTTTCAAACGCATGGAGACGGCTTCTCGTGTCACGTTTAATTGATCAGCGAGTTGTTGTTGCGTTTGAGCATCATCCTCATCCAACAATGCTTGCAATTCGCTGTCTTGAAACTTTTTCGGTGGTCTTCCACGTTCTTCGTTCCTCACGTCACAATTGCCACTTCTGAATTTTTTAAACCACTCAAAGCACTGTGATTTACCAAGAGCATGCTCACCGTAAGCTTCCACCTGTCTGGCAATTGGTGGATGCCACGCCAAAAAAACTGTTGCTCTTTTGAGGCAAACCAGTCATCGAGCCATTTTCGTACATTTTCGTAAGAAGTGAAGTGCTGGTCAGAAAGTGCGTGTTCCATCGTTGCAAATAAATAGTAATCGGACGGAGCCAAGTCTGGTGAGTAAGCCGCGTGCGGAAGTATTTCCCAACTGAACGCTTCAATCGTTTCCTTGACCGGTTTTGCTGTATGTGATGGTGCATTATCATGAAGCAAAATTACTTTGTGTTGCCTTTTTTGATATTCTGGTCGTTTCTCACGCAAAGCTTGATTCAAATCGATCATTTGTTGTCGGTAGCGCTCAGTATTAATGGTTTCGCCAGGTTTTAACAGCTCATAATAGATCACACCCTTCTGATCCCACCAAACACAGAGCATTGTCTTCTGTCCATAGCGATTTGGTCTTGTAGTCGATGTCGGTGGTTCGTCTGGAGCTACCCATGATCTTTTACGCTTAAGATTCTCAAAATATATCCACTTTTTATCGCCAGTCACAATTCGGTGGAGAAATGACTTTCTTTTGTATCTGGCGAGCAGCATTTCACAAGTGGTTTTTCGGTTTTCCTGCTGTCTTTCATTCAGTTCATGTAGAACCCATTTTTCCACCTTCTGAATCTTTCCCATGGCTTTCAAACGTATGGAGACGGCTTCTCGTGTCACGTTTAATTGATCAGCGAGTTGTTGTTGCGTTTGAGCATCATCCTCATCCAACAATGCTTGCAATTCGCTGTCTTGAAACTTTTTCGGTGGTCTTCCACGTTCTTCGTTCCTCACGTCAAAATTGCCACTTCTGAATTTTTTAAACCACTCAAAGCACTGTGATTTACCAAGAGCATGCTCACCGTAAGCTTCGACAAGCATTCGATGCGATTCTGCAGCAGTTTTCTTCAAATGGTAACAGAAAATCAATGCTGTCCGCAAATCGTAGTTTCCAGGCACAAAATTTGACATGTTCAACGCTATTACAAACTATGCTGTTGTATGAAATTTGTATTGTTCTGAGTCGAAAATCTTTGTGAGATGTCAACAAAGATTTTTGGCATCAAAGACGCAGTTTAGTCTAACTACATTATCAGCTAGGGCCATCTATAGGAAAATTCCGGTTTCATACTTCTGGTTACATACTGTTTTATTTAAACTGCTTTTTATTCAATATCTTCATATAAATTATACAAATTTATAGTTATAAATCAATTGAACGTTAATTATTTGAAATATCCATTTCTTAATTTCGTATATATTGAATAAAAGCTTCCAATCTTAGTACCATTAATTCAAATAAACAATTATTGTTAATTCTATATTGCTAAATTCAAAGTCATTTGTTATATGTTCGTATTGAAGTTATATTAATATAAATATTTGGTTACTTTCTTACAAGTTAATATTTTATATGTTCACTATAGAATATTAATTTTACATCAAAAATAAATTTTAATTGTTTGTCTATAAGATAGCAAACGAGATACAATCAATTACAAAAGTCTACATACATTCCTTAAATATAAAATATTATAGTAAAAATAATTAGTTCTATGAGTTCTTTTGACACATTAAGATACATATTGTTACAATGTAATATAATTTATTCACCTTTACTTGGATTAAGGAAAAGGAAGCAAAAAATATAAAATTCAACGTTTCAAAAGTTATACATATATATATATGTTATTATATATTATTAATGTCTTATAGCCCCGCCCCCTTCTCTCTGTAAGCATCAATAATGATCTGTTATCTGCTTGGCATTGATAAAATTAAAAGTTTTGTAAACTTTGATGTAAATTTATTTCAAAATTCTTATAAGTTAAATGTTTTAATGTTTTTAATTCATTTTAGAAATACATATTATTTAAAGTTTATACATATTATTTTGTATTGATATGTAAATATAAATAATTTTGTGACAAAGTGTGTTTTAGTGTCATAATTCAATAGGTGTATGTAGACCTTTGTAACTCATTGTGCATATTCATGAAAGTATATGTAAAGGAGTGTTCAAATGTACTTAGATATACATATTTTAAGTGATTTAAAAAATATATCATCATTAGCATGCATTATCAATTTTGGAAAATCGTAATGCTTCCATTTATGACATATCTTGTCATTTTTAATATATATAAATATGACCAAGTCTCTAGATGTTCGCAGATAATTTAAAAAATTTGGAATATTTTAAATTATTTGAACATTGTATTGAACACAAAGTAATTGAAATCAATTTTTTTGCAAATAAAAACAAAGTTTTTAATAATATTAACTTATATGCAACGTACTAAATAAATACTTGTAATAGCAATAGTAATTAATTCCATGATAATATTATTTCAATTAGGATATAGTACATTTGTTTTCTAAATTTGATGTGAACAATTGCCTTAATTTAAAAAAATGGAATGTTAAAATATTTAAAAATTAAATGTAAATTTAAAAAATATTTTGTAATGTAGTTTGTATATTGGTAGTTTTTCTTTATAATAATTTAGCTTACAAATATTTTAAAGTATTTGTGGACAACTTTAATGTCCTTACTTAATTTTTTAATATAGACATGTTTTGCAAATTATGCACATCCTATTAAAGTTATACACAAAAAGTAAAAGAAACTATTAAAGTTCTTTAGACAGACAAATGTAAACTGTAATTCAGAAATCTTTATAATTTACATTTCAATATTGAAATCCTTAAGATTATTAATTTTTACAATTAGATTAGATTTTCTTTATTATAACTGTAAAATTTATAATGAAAATCATAAATCTACAACATATTCAGTATTAGAAAGTATTTGGAGTAAATGTAAGATATAAAGAAATTAATTATATGAAATATATTTGGAAAATTATTAATTTTGTATACTATGTATGTTTTGAATCGCATTACTATATATGATAGATGTGAAATACAAATGGCATATCCATGATGCAAATTTCAAGGTCATTATTACATATGATTAATATGATATAGGCTATAACCAAAAAAGGGTTTCTAATGATAAACTAAACAAGAAAAAAAGCTTTATATATGCTATAGTTAAATGAATGTACAGAAGTATTTTCATAGCTTAATTCAAAATAATCCTGCCTTTGAGAAAATCTAATATGTGAATAAAAATTAATAACAGATGGGCTGTGGCTGAAACATTAGTTGAGAGCTATTTTTATAGCTTTTTAACTTGAGAAGAAACTAGGAGGGATAAAATAATCTATTTTGACTATATTTTGAGTATTGCCACATATGCAGAAAGTAACATTAACTGGAATAAATAAATTCTTCGATTAGCTAATTACTGTAATTCAAAATTTCAACATGAAACTCATTCTCTCAAACGCAATTAGGTATTCTGTGTAAAATATATAGTGATTTGGAGTTGTGTGTGAGATGTATTGCTGTGGAGTAACTATTAGTTAATAATGTAAAATGCCAAATTTGTTTCTATCAACTCTTCCATCCAAAAGATTCGTTTTGCAAGATATTTCCTTATGAGCTAACATAAAATAAATAATTTTTCATTCATTTTCATGAATTAGATGTTATAGAGGGTTGTGTGCAATAGATTAGCAAAGTTATATTAGCATCAAAATAATATTTATCATATGAGATTTGTATCATATGTATTTTATCATATGAGATTTGTTAATCTGGTATGAGTTTTTGTTATATTAATAACATAAGATATCCACTAACATAAGATATTCATTGTATGCCAACAATAATGTTATGTATTAATGGAGTTGCCCTATTTCTCGATTAAGATTTCAAGTTCCACGCGATTTTTCTCATATACATGTTATTTTATTTGCAGAAACAAAACTATTTTTAACAGATTTTATGCAATGTGAATACATAAAAAAGCTATATATCTAGGTATTTTCAGAATTATTTTGTGTTTAATATAGTCACTATAATAATGCCAAAAATCATGTTTAGCTTTAAGGATTTTGTCCTAAGTACTTTAAACTAAATGATTAATACACTTGAAACAGAATTAAAAAACAACCCATAACTAGCAATATAAACATCATATTATATACAGATGTATACTGAATATTGCAATAATGCAAAGTTGTATTTCATTGTATTTACACATATCTGTACAATAAAGATATTCATAATCAGTCTTCTTATGTAATAATTTATTTAATAAAGAGAAGGAGATATTTTATCAGTTTATAATATTTCATTCTTTATATCCATATGATAATGATATATATATAGATAACATATATATATCTTATTCTATAAACTATTAAATATTGACGTATAACATGAAATTATTAAACAAGATGTTAAAATAGAGTAATAGGATTAATTTTACATATTTATTTAATTTACTATAACTTTTATATAGTTAATTAGTGATTTTATATTACATCATTTTATACTAATTATAATAACAAAGATATCAAATCAAATTATATATGTTATAAAAAAGAATAAAACATTTTATGTACAACATATAAATGTCTAGTACTTGTAAAAAGAAAAGATACAGATGGCGTCTAATTTGATTACTGCAATATCAATCATTAAACTTCATCTTCGTTTAAGAGCATATTTGGTATACCATCGTTAATAGGGAATTTTCTGCCAGATTCTGGACATAGTAGGTCTCCATTAATGACTTCAACTTCCAATAATATATGATGAACCATTTTTAAAAATTCCTCATTTGTTTCAAAATCTTGAATCAAAGTCTGTGGTAATTCTCCAACATGTCCTATCTGCATTAATAATTAGAGTATATTATTATTAACATATATATGCTATCAAATTTGTATCTTTATTACTTGTACATAAAACAAATAATAAAAATATTTTACTAAAAGTTTATGAGTTCTTGTTTTAAATTTTTAGTGAGTAAACCAACATTTTTTTTTGGTATATTAAAAGCTTTATTTTTAAAATTATACTAACTATTAAAAGCAAACTATATAACACAAGCTCCTATATGTTTGATATGATATTCAATATAATAAGAAATATAGACATAAGTACTAATACTATTTTGTATATTAAAGATCTTTAGCAGTTTTATTTAAAAGTGTAATAACTTACACTTTCTGCAGCTTTCCAAAGTGTAGCCCAATCAAGTTTTGGAATTATTCTTGCAATAAATTCTGGATTAAAATCTACTTCTGACACTTTAATACCTTTTGCCTGAAAGTTTATGTAAAAAGTCCTTCCTTACTAATGCAAATTACGTTATTATAAAATGTTTTAATTGGTTTATTTAAATTAACCTTAAAATTGTATATAGATGTAAAACTTACAACAATCCCAAGGGGATATCCAACAGTTACACCTTTCAAGCATTTTGAAGTTAACATATTATGTGTTAAAAGTTTCATTTTTTAAGAATATTATCCGATCGTTTTATTAATTGAAATAATTTGAAAAAATTATGATTTTGTTGTCAAGGTTTTGTGTTAAAAGTTCCTTGCACGTTACTCTTGATGCCGGCTTTTACCGACTTATGTATACTCTAATCTCAAGACACAGTTCAATACGACTATATTCTATTACGAAAATAATAATTTTATAATTGTTCTCGTTATGATATCTAAAGCAAGAAAATATGGGTAAAATGAAAATTATTGGATTAATTTTCCACGCTGTAAAAATAGATTATAAAAATTTAAATTTAAGATTTATCATGATAAATTGAGTGACAGTCACGTGATTTCTCCTATTCAATTGCACTTTACTTTAGGAGGTTAGCTTTTCAGAAAAAATGCTATTATCTTGTTTATGAATAATCTACTACATTTTGTTGAGATTTTTTAAAACACAGCTTACAGAATAATTATATCAAATTAATTCTAGAAAAATTTTATTAGACATAATTCGTACGATAAATTACGAAACATATGGTGTGTAACCTACACGTATATATCATAGTCCAAGGTGGAAAATCGTTTGAACATCAAACTGACAGTAGCCACATCACCTGGCCTTGATGAAAATACGCAATCAGCTGTTATTCTTGCCCATTTATCTCTTTTTGTATCGTATTTAAACCTACATATTTCTGCTACTATTTGCCAGTCATATTTTGACACATCACCAACCTGCTTCAAAAATAATCAAGAACTTGTATAACCTAAAACAAGTAGTAATACACATTTATTTTAACTTTTCAATTGCTAATTCTTCTACATATATTTAAAACTACGTTTAGTAAATGTTAATAATTAAATAGTGTAAATTTCTTTTTTATTAGTGATAATATGTATTTTTATTAAATTTATGGTGCTTGTATGATAATTACCAAAAAATGCTACAGAAGACAGGAAGATAAAGTTATCAGTAACAAACGTGTTAGATTGGTGCATATACAATTTGCACTAGAGCACATTATTTTGTTATCATGCAATAATGATACTCTGACAAAATAAATTACAAAATATAATAAAAAACAATGTGTGCTATTACAAATACAAAATCTTGACATCAAAAGGAGTATATTTTGTAATGCAAAGGAAAATGGCTTGTGATTTACTTATTTGGGGATTACTAATGTTTGGATGCAGCATACAAGCATTGTTAGTTGCATCTGAAGATGACCCATTGGAATATATGAGTAAAGAAGAACGGGAAGCATTAAAGTTTGTATGAACATATAAAAGTAATAACATCCATACAAAAATAATAACTTTTTATATTTACTTATAGGGAAGAAGCAAGGGATATGTTTTGTCATGCATATAATGCTTATATGGTAAAGTTTATACAAAAAAGTTTGTTTTACATAGTTTTATAAATTCTTAGTAAAAAAATAAATAAAATGAATATCTCAAAACTTTAATAAAATGTATAAAATATAAAGTTGGTAAAATAGTAAATGTAAAATGTATTGTCAGGCTTTGTATATATATAATTGTTTAATGTTTGTAAATTAGATGTATAAGTTATATTTTAAGAAATTATTAAAACAGGTAAAGTTAGTGTTTTGTAATTTATATACTTAGTTTATAATTTATTTATTTATAAATATGTGTTCAAGGATAATGCATATCCTGCTGATGAATTAATGCCATTAAGTTGTAAAGGAAGATACAGAGGATCAGAACCAAACAGAGGTGATATAGATTCTACATTGGGAAAGTAAGAACAAAAATTTATTTCTTATATTAGAGCAAAATAAAAATTTGGAAAATAACTTGTTTTTATAGATTATATTTTAAATAAAGGCGATTTACTATATTTTAATATCAACAAGTAGTATTAGTATTTTAGTATTAATTGTAACATTTATTATCAAAATATTTATTAAAAGACTATATATCCGTTTTTGCATACTATTTTCAGTTTTTCGCTTACATTGGTTGATACCTTAGATACTTTGGTGGTAAGAAAATGTTTACATATATTTCTTATATTAAAATGATATATTTAACAAAATGTATATTAAATTAATTTTTGTCCATTTAATATGTATTAGGTATTAGGAGATTTAGAGGAATTTGAACATGCAGTTAAACTTGTTGTCAGAGATGTTAGCTTTGACACTGATGTTATTGTTTCTCTATTTGAAACTAATATTAGAATGCTGGGGTACGATGTTTAACAGCTGTTTATATTGCCACAGTTTATATAGATATTTATTTGTTCAATAATTAATACTTTCTAAAATAATTTATTTAACAGTGGTCTTCTGAGTGGTCACATACTAGCAGAATATTTACAACAAAGAGCTGATATAATGCCATGGTATAGAGGTGAACTTCTAAATTTGGCCAAAGATTTAGGATATAGATTTTTACCTGCATTTAATACAACTACAGGGATACCATATGGCAGAGTAATAATACTTTAATTAATTGTAATTATATATAAAAGGGTATTCTTCAAAAAATACTTATTAAAACAATCTTTTTTTAGATAAATTTAAAGTATGGTATGAAAGGTGTACCTTTGGAAGTATCACGAGAAACATGTACTGCTTGTGCAGGTAGTATGATTTTAGAAATGGCAGCATTGTCAAGGTTAACAGGAGAACCAATTTTTGAAGTATGATGTTTTGTAATATTTTATAAAAGTGGTAAGAAAATTTTATCTATAATAGTAATATTACATGTAATAGGAAAAAGCGCAAAAAGCGATGGATGTTTTATGGAGAATGCGTCATCGTGGTACTGATTTAATGGGGTCTGTGTTAAATGTACATTCCGGTGATTGGGTAAGAAGAGATTCTGGTGTAGGAGCAGGTATAGATTCCTACTATGAGTATTGCCTTAAAGCATACATTTTATTGGGTAATTGTTGTTACATTATTTGTATTTTTATAACTTACTATGAAATATATTGTAATATAATTAAATTTTTGGTCATAATATAGGTGATGAAAAATATCTTGGACGGTTCAATAAACATTATCAAGCAGTAATGAAGTATGTAAGCCAAGGACCAATGTTATTGGATGTACATATGCACAGGCCAAATACGAACTCGAAAAATTTTATGGATGCTTTATTGGCCTTTTGGCCTGGTTTGCAGGTAGCCTTTCATCTTTTTGGTTTTTATGTCTATAAATGTTTGACTTTTACTGTTTTTACTGTTTTTATTTTACTGTTATAGGTGCTAAAAGGTGATATCAAACCGGCTGTAGAAACGCATGAAATGTTATATCAAGTTATGCAGAGACATAATTTTATACCAGAAGCATTTACTACTGACTTTCAGGTTATTAATACATCTATTATCTTTTTGTGTGAATAAATAAACTGTAATTTAATATTGATACATATGTTTCTTAATTTATAATTAGGTACACTGGGGGCATCATCCGTTAAGGCCAGAATTTTTAGAATCAACGTACTTCCTGTATCGTGCTACTGGCGATCATTATTATTTAGGAGTTGGCCGTAAGGTACTCAAAAGTCTGCAAACTTATGCCAGAGTACCATGTGGTTATGCAGCTGTATCAGATGTTAGAACTAATAAGCATGATGATACAATGGATAGCTTTGTATTATCAGAAACTTTTAAATACTTATTTCTGTTATTCGCGGAGCCAGGCGAACTACTTTTAGATTTGGATGAATTTATTTTTACAACCGAGGGACATCTATTGCCATTAACACTTGCTTCTATAAGAACTAATATTTCTTCGGTAAGTATAAATGGTTAAACTGCAAGAAATAAAAATTATGTAATAACATGAAAATATTAGGTTAAAGTATAACTAATGTCTATAATTTATAAAATGAAGCAAGATTTTGAGCGAGATATCGTACATGTGGATGAAATGGACCGTACTTGCCCTAATAGTCTGCACCTATTTCCTGCATCAGTAAGACAGCCTTTGAGAAACATGGTTGAAGACGTGTATCCAAGGCATGCATTAAAAAGAAGATTAAGCGCTGCACAATTTCAGGTAAAGGTACACTTGTATTAAACAGAAGTATTAAATACTCACTAAAACTTATTACTTTCTATTGTAGGCAAATAATTGGGAACATTTAAGGCTGTTGAGTGATATGGGAATAACGGCTTTAACTTTGGCAGATGGACGTGTTCAACTGTTGCATACATTTTCTAATGTAAAGCAAAGTTTCTTTGTATTTATCAATATACTTAAACATTTTACTTATTATAATCTTATTAATTTACAAAGTAAAAGTATTTATATTTATTTTATAGGCAAAAACACCGCAGGATTCTGAAGAAGGTTTATTATTTATGCAAGAAATGGTTGAAATAAGTAAAATGCAATCCCAACAAACTGAAGCTAAACCGCAAGCTGTCACATTTGTAAAACCAAACACGAATCCACCTCAAATAATTACTCTGTTAGCTGGACCAGCGCAATTTGGATTAGAATTACAGGGTTTAAATAAAGTAACCGCGAAAGTTGTTTTTACATTTCCATCTGCCGCATGCACCGATCTTCATAATGCAGATAAACTTGCAGGCAAGATAGCAATAATGGGTCGGGGTAACTGTATGTTTATAGAAAAGGTAAACAAATTCCATCCATATTGTGAATGTATTTTGAAACAATTTTTATTTAATTATTTCAATATTATTGCAGGCAAGACGAATTCAACAAGCAGGTGCTGTTGCTGGAATAGTGTTGGATAATGTAGATGGTTCTAGTGCTGCAACTTCGCCTATATTTGCAATGTCAGGAGATGGAAAAGAAGTGGACGACGTAACTATTCCCGTTGTATTTTTGTTTAGCATGGAGGCTTCTGAGCTATTAAAAGCAATTGCCGTGGCAAACGGTGATCTTACAGTTACACTTGGTAGGATATTGTAACTCTTTTGTCCTATTATATGCTTCTTGCTATTATTGTTTCAAATATGTGATCTGCTTTGTTTCTACTAGGCAATTTCTTTTCAAAAGAAGATGCACAACTGAAAGCACCCACCGATTTGTCAATGTTCGAACGGTTAAAGGGATCGTTAAAATCTTTTCTTACACGACAAATGACACCACAGGTCTGTATTTCTTGGTGTTTTGCAGTTATTATCATTGAGTATGTTCT